CGAGACTTTTGTAGGTAAATGGACGCAACTAAAGACCATACTCATAAGTGAAATAAACCAGACCCAGATGGGTAAACATCATATTGTCTTCTTGGTGTAGGAACCTGAAAGACTAGGTCAAACTCAAAACATACAATAGGTGATAGGAAAGGGAAAGAAATTGCTCAAAGGAAGGAATGACTGGGATAAGGAAGAGAAGAAAAAAGAAAGAAGGAAGGCCAAACATAAATATATGTATGAATAGCTGCAAAGACTGTATTGCTGATGTCTGATAGTGTATTGAAATGAACAGTTAATACTCATAATTTTTTATGTTCTGATCAACTTTACATGCTTTTGTCTGGTGGACTGAGCAACTGATTTGAAGGTAACAATATGCAATGGAATTACAATGGAGAACTCCTATCATCTTGTCTAGTGAAACTCTATATTATCTCTAATGTTTTATCGAAGAATTATTTTCTTATTCTCTTAAATGGTTTGAACAATCTTTCATTCTTACATCTGATAATCTGAGCAATGTAGTTGAGGATAGTGATATGCAATGTAACAACCACTGTTGATTTGTATTAATTTGTCTTGAGACCCTGTATCGCTTTGAATGTTCTTGCTTTGATTTGTTTATGTTCATGATACTGGTATGCTGCCACTGTTCTATTTTTTTGTTTGTTTTTTTCTCATGTACTACTCTCTTTAAAATAGAAAAAAAAAATTAGATGGTGACACCTTGTGTCAAAATACCAGAACAAGCCTTTTTAAAAGTGATTGAAATTATAACCTTGATAAGTGAAAAACTGAAAAATAACCTGGATAAACAAATTCAGAAAAGTAAACAGTACCAAAAATATAACAACTTGAATGAGCATAAGGAATAAAAAGACCGAAAGAAAAGGTCTAGTATAATTGCTAGGGGGGCCAGAGAGAGGAAGAAAAATAGAACAGAATTAGCATTTAATCAAATGCTGGCCAATGTTTTCCAAAACAGATGAAAGTATGAAGCCACACATTAATGAAACTCTACAAATATGAACCTGGAAAATCCAAGGGAGCCACTTGCAAGCATAGCATAAGTGAGCTACCACAAACAAAGTAATCTCTGAGTAATTGCTTCTATACCAAAATAGTTATCCTTTAAAGCACTCCACTCTCTGGAAAATGAGCATGTAGGAAATCATGTAAAGCTTGGCAACTAGGAAATTAAAAGTAAATAGCTGAATTTTCATGGCATCACTGTGAATGATAAAAACTTTCCAAAATTTCGTTCCACAGAAGCTGTTAAAAGAGAAGATACAAGTTCTATAGGGAGCTCATATCTTTGCTTTACAAACCTTGTGAGCTGTCTTGGTCATTTTTCTCTCATTGTTGAGACAAAATACCTGACGTCCAAAACTAAGAAAGGAAAGGTTTATTTAGCTCACCGTTTGTGGAGGTTTCAGTACACATTAGGCTGGCTCCAAGGCAGAGTAGCACATGGCAGAGGGCAACAGTTCAGGGCAGGGGAAAATAGCAAAAGCAGTAAGAGCAAAGGGAGGAGCAGCAGAGAGCAAGCCCCTTTCCCTCCCTTATACTGTATACAAGCTGCCACCCCAGGGCAAGTGTGGTACTCACTCCCAGAATCCCAGCTTTGAACCATGGATCAATTAAAAACTCTAGAAGCCTGCCCCATGATTGCATGAGGCTTTTGGGGAGACATCTAGACACGAACCATAACATGAGCCCTCTCCCCATGTCTTCATAAACCAAATACAGATTTTCTTCATTTAACAACTTTCCATGTAAAAGAAAAGGGGGAAATATAGAGGCTATTTTAAATGCAAAGAAAATTTTAAATCTTATATTTCTCACACTAGTATACATCTAACACTGTTCAAGGATGAGACTGGGAAACAGTCTGTTCTCATAATTCGAGAGCTACAACACTCAGGAAGCTTTGACACTGTCGCTGCCAGCTGCAAGATAAGTGCAACTTAGCCTGACGGTGGTGTTTTGCCTACTTTCAAGTCCCAGAGAGTTATCACCTCAACGACACCTCTGCTCAGTCTCAGACAGTGATTGATTCTTCCCCCATATTATACAGTAGTAACTTATTAGTTTCTGTAAGAATAAATTCTGCAGAGCAATTAATGACAAAGATGTATGTAACAAACTACAGAATATTCTGTTATCTGCCTTTTGTGCTTCCTTCTGAAAACCTATATAAGGGATTGGTAACCTCAAAATGGGACTAGTGATTTGAACTGAGATTCCCACTAGCCCACTAGCAAAATAAAACTGCCTTCCAAAGTTTCTCTGGTGCTACTGTCTCCCATTTGATCTGGTCCTGAATTCTGTACCACTTTGTCTTGGCAAGAAGGAAAGTAACTAGGACAAGTTCCTTTGTGGGGAGAGAATCAATGCACTTTCCTTTGTACACAGAATAACTGCACCATGTTATGAGTAATTGTGAACTTCATATTGCATTTGGAATCTATAGTTTAAGAAATGCGTCTGGTTGCTAAGCTGACAAGGACTGGTTGTCTGCTGAGTGTTAACTGCGGAGTAAACTTGAATAAGAAATGAGTGGCTGATTGGCTTAGCAGAGTTCTGAGTGTGTCCGGATGATGAACTCGCTAATGCAGGAAGACCTGTACTGGATGTGGGAAGCCCCAATCCTAGGCTTACAGCCTGGATAGGGAAGAAGGGAAAGAAGGAACCCTTGCTTCTGCTCCTTCATAGGAGCTTCAGTATTCACCTTGGCCTTGGCGCTCCATTGCCAGGCTTCCAGTTCTGACTCTTCAGCCATCCAGTGCAGGCCCTTGTGCTTCCTGATATAGATTGCTAGGGCCTCTGCAGAGTGCCACAAGTTGTCTAACTCTGATTGGACTGTCCAGCTCTCCAGGGTTCAGATGGTACTTTTACATTCTTCCATCCCTAGCTCTTCAGGGGTCATTTATGATAGATAGATAGATAGATAGATAGATAGATAGATAGATAGATAGATAGATAGAAAATAGGTAGATATAGGTAGATGATAGATATAGATAATAGAGATAGATACATAGATACATAGATAAATAGATACATAGATAGATGATAGATCTGTTCCATTAGTGAATCCTAATTCATACACCTATAGATATATAAAGGGTAGTCATTGGGCTCTTTAATTTTTACTAAAACTGTTCAATTTAGAATTGCTGCCACAGAGAGATCCTGCATAAAGGAGGAGACAAATCTGAGAGTCAGAGTAGATCCACAAAAAACACAGGTAATTGGAAGAAGGGAAGAATGCAAAATTATGGCCAGAGTAAGCAACATAGTATGATGATTTCCACTTGACACAGACTGTATCAGAATTAGAATCCTGTCAAAAAATTGCAGATAAAATATCTGAAATGATAAACACAAACTACCCTGATATGATCATTGTTACTGTATATGTGAACTGAAATGTCACACTAAACCATACACATTTTTAATTACTATATAACAATCAAAAATTTTTAAAAATATTTTTTCTTGACAGAAATATTTAGATAGTATTTATAGAACATGAGGTCCAACTACCCCTCGAGAATATCTAGATTTATCACTGAATGAGAGCCAGTCACCAAAGAGCATATAAAACCAGACTCTGATCATCCTATTGTGTCCCAGAACACTTAGGTTAAGAACAAGGACAAACACACCAGCCATCTCAGAAAGCTCACGGAGACCATGGAGGGCTGGGTGTGAGAGGCAGCACTGAGGATGCTCTCCCACTCCACTCCTCCATCTCCACTGCATCCCCGTGTGACACCTGTGCAGGACATTTCCCTCAGAAGTAAATCAGGAAAAGCGGGGCTGGGGACTTAGCTCAGCGGCAAAAGCACCTGCCTGGCAAGTGCAAGGTCGTGAGTTCGGTTCCCGGTACCGGAGAAAAACAACAACAAAAAAAAAATCAGGAAAAGCTTCGCTGAATACCCAACATGTTTCTCCACTACTGTCACCAAATTATATGACTGATCTTTCCCTTTTTTTGAGGATGCAGATTTATTAAGCAGAGCGGACACTTTGATCCCCCCGTACCCATTCTAATGTGTCTCCTCACAGAAACTTTCCACTCTAGGTTGTAGTTTACCTTCCACTTATCATACTTATGATTATTTCAAATGCTTCACATGAACAGTGTAAGCACTTAATGATATACACTACAAAAATAGGTTTTGCACGTGTGTGTGGTATTTTAACACTCTGTAATACAAAAGAATGTGCTCAAAGGGAATTATTGAGTAGCGTCTGGGGCCTAAAACATGACGCCTAACATTGTCTCTTACTATAAATCCATATATTTTAATGAAAAAGAAAGGGATTCTCTATTTCTACAATTATATAGGGAAATAAAATATTGATAGGTTTACAATCTAATGGTTTTGGTATTTTTTGTATTATTTGAACATTTAAAATATTTTCATTAGAAATACAAAAAGCTAAATAATTTTTATAATTATTAAAACTCAACTATCCACAGAAAAATACAAACAGGAAATCAATAACTGTAGTAAAACAACCAAATTTGTGGACGAACTTCGCGTTCTGGGACTAGAAAATATAACTGACTGGTCAGTTCCTTCAAAATACTGTTGTTACCACATTTATCCTTCAGCTGTGGAAGGAACTCAGCTTTCCTTCCGAGTAAGGCTTAACTGGACCTGTATCAGCTCTATTTATCTTCACACACCTGCAGGAAAGCAGAGGAGTTACCCTCACCAACTGGCCCGAACCAGAATCGGTTGCACCACCTTATCATTTCAAGACACATGCACACGTACGCGCGCACGCACACACACACACACACACACACACACAAGCGCACACGCACACACACACAGAACTGTCAGTTTCTGTCCTAACTCACCGTCTTACGCGTCTGTGAGGGCGCAGACCCAGTCCTCTCTCTTGAGCGCTGCGCCCTTTCCTATCAAAATGTACCCACAAAACCCACCTCCCGTTCCCGCCTCACACCCGGCCAGTGCACTCACCGGGCTCCGCAGAGGTTCAGGGCACCGAGGGCTCGGGTCCCGGGACGCCAGGGCTCAGGGCTGCAGCGCTCACTGGTGGAAAAGAGTTTTCAAAGGGCTGCGAGGAGCC